TTTTTGTGTTCGGTGTTAGTCTTAAAGGTAGAATGTCAAACAGTCAGGTAAGAGAGCGTGGTGGTATGAAAAATGATTTAGTGACAAGGATAGAGAGAGGGCTGCTTCGATGGTTTGATCATGTAAAAAGAATGAATGTTGTTCTATTGACGGCACAAATTTATAGAGCAAATGTGGATGGAAGCGTGGGGAGAGGTAGACCTCGGCGAACATATCTCAATCAGATTGAGGATGTCCTTAAAAAAGGCCGGGTTACAAGTACCAAGAATAAACGGGAATGTATGAAGCGATTGATGGGAGTAGAGGAGGCGAAAGAGGTTTGTCAGGAGCGTAGTAAGTGCAGGTCCATAGTCTCTGCCTACCCCGGTGGGAGACAGGCGTGATGTATCTAATATTTTAATATTAGCTAGTGCAACACTTTTGATTAAACTTACAAAATTACCATGTAATGAACACTACGCCACGGAGCAATTAAGGATGAACGATTGATACACTCATTGATCCGTTGATCGATTGCTTGACTTTTTGGTTCGATCGAAAGAATGCTTTATCGAACAAATGTTCGACCCAAACGAAGAGTGAGAAGGCGGACCGTGTCGTGTGTGGGAACTTCACGTGAGAGTGAACGAGACAACAATAATATTGTGAGTTGGTGAATAATCTCTAAAATTATAGCGATAAAGTCGAATATTGCATGACCCGTGAAACTCTAAAATCATCGGGTTATTTAGAAGCTAGTAACCCGGGTTGTAGGGTCACAGGTGCTGGTTGAATAATTTTGATTCGATCGATCACAATCGACACATGTCTAATTCAAAAGAGCGACCCCTAGAGAGTTTCGTGCTCGTTCTTCTCATGGGACTCTGTCTTACATATGAGCAGTAGAGTTTATTATATATAATATAAAATACATTATATATATATATATATAACGCATAGAATGATAGTTTCATATCGAACGAACTGTCACAAGTGAGGCAAAAATCAAATTCATGGAGGCTAGTTTTAGTAGTAGATTAATTTTCGGTTTTAGTGAATATTTATATAAAAATACAAGTTGAAATGCGTTACTTCCTTGTGGAATGTGATGTTTATAAATATTTTATGTTTGTCTGACGTATTTTTACACTCATTTACCGCACATTTCGTCATTTTTAGCTAAAATTCTTGAGCTCTTCGCGGTGCAAGTTGACCTTGAGCACTGACGGCCCGCCTGCTCGTGTAGGCCCTTTGGGAGCGCTTCAATTTGCCTCGCTTAGCGTGTGCGGACTAGGTTTCTATGCGTTATTATTCTAAGTATATATATATCCTGAGACAAAAGTTGACAAGTCCCATTTGCCTGTAATTTCACCAGCACCCTTACCCTTCAAAACCGGAACACAGTAATGCTGACATTACTGCTTGGCGGCAGAAATAGGTAAGGTGGCAGTACTTCCCTGGACGAACTCTTTCACAAGCTCTACTGTTGCTACAACTTATATAACGATTTGAAGTGTAATTTGCTTACCTATGAAATCAAGGTGATTTGAATTTTTCGCTCTTGTTACATGGACATGAAACTTTTTCTGAATAGCTTTATGCGATTCTGTGTAGACAGGTATAGTGACACCTTTAAGGTCTTCCGTGACATCATACTACACCAATTCGATTGAAACATAAAGACAGGCAAACGTTATAATTATAACAAATATGCGAAGTTGTCATAATTAGCTCGAATTTAATTATAGGTAGGTTAGTAATTTGTTATAATATCAAGGTGAATCATGTTTTCAGAAATGTCAGTTAGTCATTCTTTGTTTATTTAGATTTCTCGACTAGGCTTGGCTGTTTGGGTGTACTAACTGCCTATTAAACTAATTACATAATATTTTACAAAAAATAAATGTTTCACTTCACATAGCGAGCATCGAGATCATTTATAAGAGAGAATCGATTTAGAGACTAGGGTTAAAGTTAATAAACATAACAAAAATAATTCAATAATTATATTGTAAAAGTTACTAAAAAACGACACAACAAATTAAAAAATCAATAACAACACCCAAAGTCAAATAATTATTCATTTACAATATAATACAATACACTTGAAAACGTTATTTTTTAAGCTACTGCTCGTTCACAACGCTGACCTCCCTGAGAAGAACGGTCAGGAAACTCTAGGGATTGCTCTTTTCAAATAAACTTAAATGCTATGGAATACACTTTGAATTATATTTGTGTGAAATCTAGACTCATGTTGTCTTTCCATACATCTTTATCTAACAAGTAATCTTAAAATTTTAACCGACTTCGAAAAAAAGGGAGGAGGTTATACTTTCGGCTGTATATGTATATATTTTATGTATGTTCTTCTATTTCTCTTCAATTGTAGACCGATTTTGAAAATTCTATTTTTGTTTGAAAGGGTGCACTGTCGAGGTGGTCCCATTGTTACCAAGTCAGAATCTGATGAGGGGATCCCATTGAAGTCCAAGGAAATCCTCGAATTTTATAGGCATAAACATACTAAATCGGCCGTGATTTTTTTAAATGTAAACATTTTGTACAGGATACTTATTTTTTAAACGATTTTAAAAAAGGAGGAGGTTCTTAATTAGACTGTTTTGTCCCTATCTACTGACCCGAGAGATAAGGTTTTCCGGAGAGACTACGGGCTCGGCGGCAAGACTAGGGAACGGTGGGCGTTCAGGCCAAGCCCTCCGCCAGTTATACGTCTTCACGGGCGTCTCTGGCGGACCCGGACCTAGGTATGAACTCGCCGGGGTTTGTGGTCGGTGGTTAGCTGCAGGGACGAACACGTTTGTCTGCCCCGGTAGCGTGTGACCGGGGCGTTCTTCCCGGCGCGTCTTAGTAGCGGTCTAGTTGAGGGCCTGAGGCAAGGAGACGCGCGGGCCACGTGAGTTGCCCTTTAAGTCGGTGGCTATGTCCAAAAATTGTCGCTGGACACTGTCACTTGGGAGTGACATAGTCATAGAGAAAGGAGGAGTGAATAATGACATCTCTCACCAGGACTGGTAGTTGCAAAGGTATCTAAATGTATGATAAAACTTTCACAGATTTCTCACAGATCGCGATACGACTAAAAAGTCGTTAAAAAACCATATACAAAGACACAACAACATGCACGTAGGAAAATTCGTGAGTTCCGCTGATTCGTTCCGTGGCTTAGTTGGTATAGCGTCTGGCACGGTATGCTAGAAGACGTCGGTTCGAATCCGGCCGGATCGAAGGAATTTTTTCTGAGTGTTCGATCTTAGTATTAATAATTATAACAATGAATTTATTGTTTCTCAAAATGTTCTCCGTTAGTGTTAATGCACTTTTTCGTACGAATGAACCAATTTTGAAAACATTCATGCCACTCATCCGTGACAATCTCTGAAACATATTTTTCATTATCTTCGACAGCCTCTTCAGGTGATGAAAATCGTTGACCGCGTGACTGGTTCTTAATCTGGAAATAAATAAAAGTCACAAGGTGCCAGGTCGGAACTGTACGCGGGATGGCTCATAAGGTCAAAGTTGTTCACCTTCAAAAATTCATTTGTCTGTCTGGCCGTGTGAGAACTGGCATTATCGTGGTGCAAGATGGTGCGGCGTTTGCGGTGATTTTTACGGAGTTTGCCTATAACTTCCGGCAAACAAACGGTCGTGTACCAAATCACTATTCACGGTACAACAATTCTCCAAAGCAACAGTAGCCACGTGTCCAGTTTTATTAAAAAAATAAGCAATCATCCGCTTACAAGCACTTAGGACGCGCGCCACTTTGGTGGGTTTCGGCTTATCTCGAAAGACCATCGACATCGATAGACGCTCGATTGCTGCTTTGTTTTGGGATCGTAACTATAAATCTATATTTCGTCACCTGTTACTATGTCCCACACCAAATTTTTTGAGCCTCAGTCACATTGTGTAGGATCCACCGAGAGCGCAGCTTTTTCACACCCAAATGTTTGTGTAGTATTGATCGTATTTGACTCATGCCTATGTCTAAAGATGCCCGAATCTCATGGTATGTCACATGCCTGTCTGTTTTGATCATACCGCGCAAAGCATCCATGTTTTTGTTGTTCACAGCAGTGGACGGGCGACCATCACGAAATTCGTCACTGAGATTCACACGACCGCGTTTGAATTCTGCAAACCAGCTATAAATAGTCGTCTTGCATGGTGCTTCATCGCCAAAAGCAGTTTGAAGCCGAGCGAAGCTCCGCTGAGCTGTTAAATTACACTTAAAGTCGTAGAAAATCATACTGCGAATATTTTCACGAGTTAAATCCATGGTGATGTAAACAACCATTTTCTAAAATGACGCTACAATGTAATAACAAGTGACAGTCAGATGAAACAAACTGTATTTTACAGCCAAAGAGTTCCATTGTCAAATGTTGTAATTACTTTTTAAATATTGTTTATGTAAGTGGCCAGTTCCGGAAACTTATAGTGCGCCCTATGTATTATTGCTATAGCAGTACTGCCACCTTACCTATTTCTACCACCAAGCAGTGATTTCAGCATTACTGCGTTCCGGTTTTGAAAGGTACTGGTGAAATTACATGCACATCGACTCATCCGTAGAACAAAGACATATGTGCAAGATACCGCTTATTCTCAGGACATTGTACATTTCGTTTCTTGTTCTTGACTGTGGATATCCACAGTCAAGATCGACTGTGTTCGATTTTATATTTCCAAAACGAAACAATAATAAATAATAATAAATAAAAAAAAATAATAAATACCTAAAAAAATCTGAAACACCTTTAGATAGATCTTTTGAATAACGAGTATAATGACACTGTATAATTACATCCGACTCTGTTCTTCGAAAGTGTCGACATGTGATTAATCAACTTATGTCTCCGGGTGAGATATGAGACTCAGATCTTTGCAATTTAATGCAACTGTTGTGTACAGGCGTGTATCACGACCAGGCGCACGACTTGCTCGTCCAGTCACTTAATGTAGTAAAAAATCCTTTATTCATTATCTTTCAGGAAGCAGTAACCCAAGTTGTGACAAACCGCGCGTTCTTCGAGCGCGGGCGCCTCTTCATCGAACCATGCATGCGCCAGACGGCCTGTTCGCGGTGCCCGAGCAACCTCTGCAAGAGCATTGCGCTGGCGCAGTTCTGCTCGCAACGACCGCCGTACGCGCGTGTTGTCTACGCGGGTGACGGCCGAAATGATTATTGTCCAGCGACTAACTTGCCACAACATGTGAGTATTAAGAAACTATTACTCGTACTTACTTTTTTTAATCGACTTCAAAAAAGGAGGAGGTTCTTTTTGATTCGACTGTATTTTTTTTTGTATTTATTTTACGCCATAACTCCGTCATTTGTGAACCAATTTTGATGTATCTTTTTTTGTTGGAAAGAGGGTACCTCAGTTGTGGTCCAATTTAAATTTGAAAAAAATATTCCACCTCTAAGGGTGGCAAGCTAGGGGATCAATGATTTGTGAAGTCGGTTTTTTTAGAACTCTGTACTGAGCTTATTCATTGTGATCTTTCTCCTGCCCGGAGCATGTACGGTGTATTTTTTTAATCTACTAAGTGATGGGATGTATAAGTCGTACGCCTGATGGTAAGCGACACGCCTGTCCATAACAGTTGCAGTGCCATTCAGAACTTTATTGTAGCGTTTGTTCAATAGTTTGACAGATGGTTTGATGAAAATAGTTATTTTCTTACAAATATTAATTTAATATTTTAGTAGTAGTATACAGGGTGGAAATTTGTAATGCCACTTGGAAGGAAAGTACGTTAAATACTGGAGATAGAAATTTTTACTTAAAGGAAACATTGCTTTATTTTTAAATAGAAATAATACTGCTTTCAAAGATTTTCGAAAATTACTAGCCACACGCGGGAATCGAACCCGCTAAAATCTTTAAAAAAATGCACCCTGTACTTTTATTAAATCAATCGATAGGGTCAATTATGAAGATAAAATCTCTCTTACAAACCATGAAATCTGCAGTTATAAAAGTTACTCAAAATGAATTCGTTAAAAGATTAAATTTCTGTATCCAAGTAAATGGAGCTCATTTCGAGCAACTAATTAGTTAGATTACCATTTTTTTTCGTTTTATTAAAATACGTTAACATTTCGTGGTTTTTCTTTTTTCATTTAATTAACCAATTTTGTGACAGAGATTTTGTTCTTATAATTAACCCTATCGATCGATGCAATAAAAGTGCAGCGTGCATTTTTTTCAGATTAAAGCGGGTTCGATTCCCGCGTATTGCTAGAAATTTTCGAAAATCTTTGAATGCAGTTTTATTTCTTTTAAAAAATAAAGGAATGTTTCCTTTAAGTAAAAATTTCTATCTCCAGTATTTAGAGTACTTTCCCTCCAGTTGGCATTACAAATTTCCACCTGGTATTGTTACACAGTATATTATTTTAGTAGCAGTAGCAATAGACCTCCTTACGAAAGAGTTCGTCCAGGGAAGTACTGCCACCTTACCTATTTCTGTCGCCAAGCAGCAAATTAAACATTCTATGTTCCGGTTTTGAAGGGTAAGGGTGCTGGTAAAGAAACAGGCACACGGGACTTGTCAACTTATGTCTCAGGGTGACGGATTGAGTAACAGTGCCCTTAAGATCTTTGCGATTTAAAGCTCTGCAACTGTTATGGATAGGCGTGGGCAAACGACTTGTTCGTCCCGCCACTTCGTATCATAAAAAAAGTAATTATTGTTATGAACGTTATTTTTTTTAATACAGGGTACCGTGTTCCCGCGCCGCGGCTTTCCCCTGGACAATCTGATCAAGAAGACCCAGTCATCCTCAACTCCTCAAGTGAACGCCAAAGTCGTGCCCTGGGACGACTGTTTTACAATAATCAAAGAATTGCTACCCGGAAAAACTAAAATAGAATGTTAGTTGTTATAAAATTATACTTCTTTATTTGAAAGGTATCTACGGTTTAAGGCTTCTTCAATGCTTTTCTGTATCCACAGTCTCCAGTTCACTCTTAGTGCAACAGAACCCCAATTCTGATTTTTCTTGAAACCTCTGTCATCCTTTGAGACTCCACTAAGATGATATTGCAATTATGATAATATTTATTATTCTGCTAAAGTCTAGTTGCAATTACATTTGAATATTAATAGAGTGTCAGTGGAATGACAGAGATGGCATTAATTCATTCACTAACGGTCGATGTGGCCTTAGTAAAACCACCATTGGTAATTTTAATGTTAGTATTCTGAAACTAATTTTGGTGGCAATTTTTATTATTTAAATATTCTAAAATATCATCATGAAGCATTATTTAATATTCGAGTGTAGTAACTTGAAATCATCCAGTATCTTGAAATGCAGCCAGGAAACTTGGCATACTTTCCAAGGTGAGGCGTTACGTCACATCGGGACAGCCCCATATCTTTCTACATTCGTTTTGATTATAGTGACCCTCCCTACCATTACTATCTAAGTCAGGTTCTAATCGCAGATTAGCCCGTTCGCACGGACTTCATCCGGTACTCAGAAGGCTAATGCTTTAGGTGAGCCGCCCCGGTTGCAAGTACAGCACCCTCCTTATTTTCCAAATAGGTATCGGAGCAGTAGGCAAGCTTACTTCCCGTCGCGCTAAGCGACTAACGGTTTCCCACCAGGATAGTTGCTTCAGTTGTAACAAGCACAAGTCCGGTCGTGCTAAATACCAACTGGTCACCATAGATTCAATCTACTAGCATGCCAAGAGGCTTATAGGTGACTCGGATTTAGTAGAGGGGAAGTGCAGAACCTTGAACATCATCGTAAAATTGCATGATTTGATTCCGCTTTCCTCTTTCCATCAGGGGAGACTAGACGTGAGTTGGTGTTCCGCCCCTAAGTTGTGGATATTCCCAGGATTCGCACATTTATATGGCGAGCGGCTAGGGAGTGGAATTCCCTGCCTGCGTACTGTTCCCCGAATGCTATAACTTGGACACTTTCAAGGCGAGAGTGAATAGGCATTATTTAGGTGTGCATGCTACATAGTCAACTTCATCGACACTTTCCATCAGGTGAGATGGAGGTCAAATGCGCACTTATTTGTGTATAAAAAAAAAAGATTTAATATTTCACGATTACATACTCTAATATTTAAATAATAAAAATTGCCACCAAAATTAGATAGAGGAAACTAACCTGGTATTACCCTGGAAATTACTATGCCTATTTTTTATAATTCGAAAGGCTCAATTATAAGTAACATCAGATGACTAGATGAGACAACCAATGTACTTTTAGAAATGTATCTGTGAAGCAATATAGCGTATGTATACTTTGTCATTTTTAAGACGGAGTAAAATGACAAGCGGGCAACACTATTGACAAATGAACTGTCATTTTACTCCGTCTCCAAAAAAGACGTACCTACTATACAATATTTAAAGAACTTTTCTTTCGTGTAGCATAGCAATGGGGGAACCTGTATACAGGTGTAAACAATTTTTTTAGTAAAACATTTCCTTGTGAACACGTTAACTAAAGTACCGGCACGCTATGATGGCCGTTTTGATGTTTGTCCGCTCATCAAGTTTCGTATTAATTCATAACTACGTTGAAGGAGCTAATTGTTGTCAACAGTGACGTGCAGTCAAATTTATGGAATGTATAATTTTACGACATAACTCGGCATTTTATTTTTCGAAATCCGAAGTTTTTAAAAATGAAATCTATTACGGGTGTCACTTATGGGATCGCTGACCAGCGCAACTTCTATCTCAAACTCAAGCTCAATGCAAAACAAACCAGTATCGAATTGACGATATATTAAGTAAACATTTTTATTTTCGCTTTATTAAAACTTTTTAATCAGCTACCCCTTGCAATACTAGTTATAAATTTTAAAAGTTATAGATGCGACTCGCATTTGATTATATTTTTTTCGATAATGAATTGAGATTTGACCTCACTATTGTAATCTGTCAAAACCGCCACCATAGCCGGTACTGTAGCTGAGATAATGCCGTTTTCCTTGTACCCTATATAAGATCTCAAAAGCCATATCGCACTTGACAACTAACATATTATTATTTCAAAATTTCATTATATTTAGTAATTTCTCTCCAAAATTTCACGATATTAATGTGTCATTCATACACGATTTAATTTCAATGTGACAGCCATTTTGAGATAATACTAGGTTAGTTGTCATGTGCGATATAATAGTTAAATTATGATAGTAATACTGTAGGAAATTCAAAATAGCCGATTAATTTTTTTCAACGAAGCATGACATAGAGGTGTGATGGAGCTTTAAATATTGTACGTGTCCATCCAGAAGGTAAAGGTAAGTATAGTAGAATTTTAATAAATAAACAATTTGTTAGCCGTGTTAATAAATAGTTAAGGTATCGAGATCAGCCTTAATGGCTTGTTTACACCTCGCTTATTCACTAGAGGAAATAATAGCTATTTGTTATAGGGTCATTTGTAATAGGCTGCAAATTTGTTATTTGACGCGAGTGCTAGCGGTTCAAAAATAGAATCGAGCGTAGCGAGTATCGCAAAACAACTTTGCTGCCGAGTGAAACACACCTTTCACCTCACTATAGCGAGGAAATTTTTAATTAAAATAATTTGACAAACACAATTAGTAAAAACGCTTCTGCGCGCAGATTTCTAATGAGAAAGGAAACCTTTCCGAGCTAGTGAGGTGAAAACTATCATGTCGCACCTATACCATGAAAATGACCTAATTCAAAATTCGTAAAACGGCTTTAACAATAATTGTTCATAAGGTTGTTAATTTAGAACCGCAGACTCTCTGATCTTGAGATGAAATTTTGACTACTCTCAAATGACGCTTGAACATTGTGATATGTCACAGGTACTTGAATGATACTTATAAATATAACTTAAAAAGGAATAATACCTTTACCTACGGCTACACTACGTTTTTTTTATTGCTAAAATGCCCCAGTCAGTCAGTAAACATGGCATAAATGTTAAAAACAGCGTTGATATCAGTTTTAACTGTCAGCCGACATGTTTACCAGTGAATGGTGTCCTTAATGGTGGCAAGTTACGCACATGAAATCAATTATTGTTGTAACTCAAAATTATGGAATCAACACAATTTGAAAATTAAAAAAAAACAAACTTTTTGCGAATGATGTTATTATTTTTATTTATACATAATTCTTAATTATCCATTTATATATAAACAGGCAGTATATTTGAAAGTGAGATATAGTACATCATGTTACAACTTAACATAGACTAAAATAAAATTAGGATATGAGATAGAACAAAAAATAAATCAACAAATTTGTTTTGGAGTGTACATAGGAATAAACTGATTCCCTTTACGCTTGATTTCGAGTGCATTGGGAATACTACCAAGCGAGCGCCGAGTGAGACAGCAACAATAACAATGATTTCACATTTCTTTTATTTTTACAAAACTTTTTTTATGCCATTCGATCCAATCTCTGGTAAGGATCAATAGTCTCTATGGGACAATCTGAGGTAAGAGTACTATAATGTCAGAAATCGCAAAAAAACTTACCATATTTTTTGACAACTAACATAGTATTATCTCAAAAATTGCGTTATGCTATATTTTATCTCAAAATTGCGTTATATTAATCATTTATCTCCAAAATTTCGCTATATTGATGTGTCCATTCATATGCGATTTAATTTCAAAGTGACCAGACAACAATGTCGCTTTGTAACCAAACAGGTAATATTGAGATAATGCTATGTTAGTTGTCATGTGCGATACATATATACAGAGTGTGTAATACAATGTACCTAATTTCACTTCAGACCTATGTAATTACTGTATTCTAGCAAATAAACGTATGCAATTTTATTTAGTATAGTAAAATTACAGGTTTTTTTTCACATTTAGCGGGTTCGAGTCCCGGTACAGACAGGCGATTATTTAAAAATCTTTGAATGCAGTTTGAACTGTTTTTAAAATTAAAATGTAGTCTTCTTTCAGTAAAACTTTATATCTACGGAATTTAAGTACAGTACTTTACTTTCCACCGCATGGCATAGCCGTGTGACGCCTTTTTCATTCGTCTTTTTTTTTCAAATAGTGTTTTCTCAATTCGACAATTTTGAGTTTCGTGTGCGATATTTGAATAACGCCATCTTGCGGGAGTTTTAAGAACTAGTTTCTTTTACACAAACACCATCGGTGTCCAAAAGTAATTTGTCCACTGTAAATTCTTATGACATGCTTTAGAATAATTACATTCAATTATAAATTACTAATTAAATTAGAACAAAAGTCCAGTGTTTATTTTTTATTTAAATACAGGCTGTACATTTGAAAGTGAGACATATTCATATATGTCATAGCAAATCATGTTACAACTTAACATAGACTAAAATAAGATTTGGATATGGGATAGAACAAAAAATAAATCAACAAATGTGTTTTGATGTGTACATAAGAATGAACCGATTCCCTTTACGCTTGATATTGAGTGCAATGGGAATACTACCAAGCGAGCGCCGAGTGAGACAGCAACAATAACAATGATTTCACATCTCCCTTCCTACTTAGAACCGACAAAGCACCTCATTTCCCTAGAAAATAAAAACCACAAACTAAACTAAGTTGTTCACCTACGCATATTTATTTTATGATGAAAAAAGCTGTTATCGAAATGATTACGTTTTAGTTTATGCTAATTATTTTTTACTTCTGAATTATCGTCGAAATGTTTTACGTACTAAAAAAAGATAACTAGTTATAATTTAATAAGAATTGAGGTTTTTTAGAGTAGTTAAAAAAGTGAAATCAAATTACTTACAATGATTTATTTTTTAGTTATTTACAGTTTATTTACACTTACGCGATACGGAGCTGGTGTTCAAAACGTCCACCGTTTTCCACAATGCATAGTCTAGCACGTCGTAGTAAATTTTGTTGTAAATTGTTCAACACAAACACATTTTGTCTCACAGTATAAAATGCTGAGATAATCCTCTCATGCAAGACTTCGACTGTTCCCTTCCGCGTAAACTCCGATTTGGGAACATTTCAATAGCTCGCCTCACACTATCACCAGTTATTGCGTAAAGTAGCACCATCTCAGTCAATTCGACGTTAGAATAAATATCCATTTTGCGCGGGCGAGGGGCGCGTTCTCCGGGGTGCAGCCATCGGGCAGCGGAAGTACAATAAACGTGTATAATGTACGTGTCTTCGCTAGGCCAAGGTCGCGCGTGCACCGTCTCTCCAATTTTCAGATGCACCCGCGCCCCCACTCCCGCTCGCCGTTGCGTCGGAGCAATAATAGTGATGTGCATAGATTTCGGTAACTAATGTTGTTCACAAGTAGTAGTCGATAAAAAAAGAATTGTAAACTTTTCAAGTTCAGTACTTCATTATTTCTTTGGGTTCAGAATCAGAAATATAACGCACTCTATAAGTACGTCCCACTTTCAAATATACAGCCTGTATAATATTTTTTTAATGTAAACTATGACTATTTATTTGTGATGAAATAAAATGTTTACCACTTTTTTTTCGTTTTGTTTAACGGTGAAACCTTGGGTCCTATTACGCTCTGAGATCACTCTAGATTGAAAATCAACATCATCAGCTTACGCGCATCCAGCGCCGGACATAAGCCACCCTCCGAGCACGCCAACTCTCTCTGAACTAATCTCTAAGTCCGTCAACGAAAGCTGTGAAAATTTGGTTGTCACGAATACGAAACAAAAAAACAATTAGTACTTTTTAAATGTTTGTTCAAAACTAAACAGTAGGCTCTCGAGGATATATTATATTATCCTTTTGGTCCTACCAGTAGGAGCATGAGGAAACGGCCTGTTTAACAGAGTTTAAAAAAGGAGGTTCTCAATTCCATATTCAATTTGATATATTTTTTTGTGTGTTTTACTCGATTATTTCGGCATACAAATTTCGATGATTCTGTTTTTGTTGGAAAGAGGTGCCTTAGTATTGGTCCCGTTTTTGAAGAAA